ACTCAAATATTTTAGGCCTTTTCACTATTTTTCGTTTATACTTCCCCTGAAATCACAGAAACGAAACTGGCAGTTCTTATGTAATGATTAAGTTCCTCAAATCAAGTCATTGTAAAGGTTGCCAAATCAATCTGGACATCAGGATTTGTTTCTGTTCAGACTTTTAAAATGAAAATCATCCCCATGAAAATGTTGGAGCACTGATTTTCATCCAGCCTAAGTCAGTAGGCAAGGGACAGTTGGTCAGTTAGGGGCAGGTGGGCCCGGCATGCTCATTTCAATGCTCCAGAGAGCAACTTCATGGTAAGACTCTCACATCTATTAAGTGAAAAACAAAACAAAACAAAAAAACCCATGAATTTGTTTCACAGTCTCTCATAGTTGAAAATCAGCACTGCATGAGAGCAACAATGAACACAGACCCAAGGACAGAGAGTTGACTGCCTTCGTTGTCTACCTGACATTGGGCGCAGGCTCCAAGGATGCCCAGCCTCACAGAAGTGGTTCTCATCCTCCACTAGTTTCCTGCCACTCGCTCACAGGCACTTCAGCAGCAAATTTAGGCTGACAGGATAGGGAGCAACAACATGAGAATTTCTGTAATGTAGGCCTTCTGAAATTTTATGAGGGAGAAATGATTTGTAAACTGCAAACAGAAGATCATTCACTATATGGCTGAGAGATTCTGCATTTGCTTGTGGGCTGTGATCGATATAATACCATGTGAGTGAGAAGTCATACTGTGGCAGCACCCACCTCTGTGCCAAGTGCACTGGCGGAGCGAAGTTATTAGTGACTGCTGCATGTTTCCTCAGGAGTATGTGAGTCTATTTTAAAAACTGGTTCAATGTTAGTTTTGAAAATTCAACCATTTTTTTCTCACTTTAGGAAAATTTTACTAAGATATATTATAGATGATGGGAGACCTTTGAGAGTACAAAAAAAATTTGAAAGACTTTTATTCTCTTAGAATTGCAATGCTGTCTCTATTTCCAATCAATTTATCTTTAAAGATTAACAAAGCTTTAGCTAATTCAGAAGCAATAGTACACAATTCACTTAGGTATAAAGATCATCTTTGTACCTATGTTTGATTATTTATTTTATTGTATCTAAAAGATAGAATAGGTAACACTCTTGAAGACATAAGTGTAGGCAAAGACTTTATGAACAAAGCCTGGATTGCATAGCAAATACTACAAAGAATAAATAACTTTTTGGAAGTTTAAATGTAGAACAATCTTTGATTTCTGACTTGATGCCACTCAGATATATAAGTGTATATTATATATTTTGCTCAAAATGAAAAAGAAACAGTTGTATAAAAATAACAATAGCTGGGAGTGGTGTCACACATCTGTAATCCCAGCAGAGGGGTGGTTGAGATAAGGAGGATCATTGCCACTTAGAGACCAGCCTTGGGTACAAAGTGAGCTTAAAGCCAGCCTGAAGTGCATAGTTAGAGCCTGTCTTGCAAATAAAGTAATAATAATAGGCATGGTAGTAGCATATACAGAAAAGAATAAAATAAAAGCTCACTTAATCTTCACATCTTTTTTAAGTATAATGTAATGTGCTCTTTTATTAATCAAAATGCTTTGTTCCAACTTTCTTTGCTTTATTTGTATATGCTTGTAGTATACACTGATTACATTTCTCACGGGAGTGCGTACTTGTGACAACACATCTTATTTCAGGTTTTAACCTCTTCTTCTCTCCTTCCCCACTGTCCATCTCTGGCTCTCCATTTTGGTAAGGGATCTATTTCCTTATTCTCTATTATTTATACTTCCTTCATAGTTTGGGTTTCTTGTACAAGGGCAACCATGGAATAGTCTATTTGAGCTTATTATACTCTCTATAATTTATTTTATTTCACTGTATGGTTTCAAGGTACACTGATTTTCCTACAAATGACCCAAGTTTATACTTCTAAGTTTAAGATATAAAAAACTGAGTTCTTAAAGTGCCTGTGTAGTGACACAAAAACAATCAGAT